TCTCTCTCTCTCTCTCTCTCTCTCTCTCTCTCTCTCTTTCCTACGAGTTCGTTCGGTGCACTCGACATGCATCGAAGAGGGAGAAGGAATGCGATCGATTCAGTTATTCTTTCGAGTCGGATCCAGAAAATCGCTTTACCTGCCGGGTCCAGACCGTGTTTTATCTCACGCAAGAACTTAGATGATGCTTCTGTGGTACGTACGTGTATGGTATACGATCGTGAAGTTTAAAAATTCTTCGTAAGGAGAAATGGATCGCGAATGAAACATGTCTTATGTTATTATTCTCTTCGAAAAATTCGATTCGGTTTTTTTTCTCCCTTAATCTCTTAAAATTCAACATTACGTTAAATTAAAATTTCGCAAGTTCGTAATTTTTCTTTTCGATCGATATATTTGGAAAAATCATTTTGTCGTTTGAATTATATTTAATAGATTCGAGAATTATTAAAAAGAATAAGATTTTTTTTTTTATAAACGAATTAAACACTTTCATATACGATATCCTCTTACTATAGAGTTCAAGACAGTTCAAACTTATTCTCATCTTATTTTTAGACATCTGATTCATTCTACTCGTAACTCTCTATCTATTTTCTGCATCCTGCGTTAAAAATATATCTTTTTAAAAAAAAAAAAACTGTCAATAAACACTATTCTCTCAAGGAATGAATAAATGTTTAAAATTCTGTTTGCAATTTTCTTTGCAATTTTTATTAACTCCGTATCGATTATTAGAATCTCTGTCACTCGTGTCCCCGAGTATCATACGTATCGAAATGAAAGAATAAACTTGAAACGGTTGGGAATATAAAAAGATATAATCCGGTCTTTGGAAATTCGAATGCTTAATGAGCTTTAAAACGACGAAGAGAAGACATGAAATGCCAGTAACTCATGCGCGGGACAAAGAGAACCGACCGAGTGCATATGATTTACGGCGTTGTTTGTAAAAACGTGGAACGCGTTTCTGCAACAGAAAAAAACCTTTCTGTGTGACTGGCAAATAACACAACATGTTATCCAGAGATTGAGCACGTAGTAAATATCGAAGTGTGTGCAAACGAAATACCATTCATGAAATACTGCCTTCATTTTGTCATGTTTGAAAAAAACATCCGGTTGATCTTAGTTTGTTGACAGGGTCAATGGTTGAATTTTATTTTGAGATATTGCCTTTTTTTTTTTTTCTTAAACTTTTTACGCAATTTTTGATAATTTTCGATAAACAAAAACAAGCAACAATAATAATTTTGAATGTAAAAATAAAAATGTTATTTAATTCTAATCTAATTTAAGCGTGTGTATTTCGTCTTATTAATTAGATTATATTATACAGAATAGCGTTAGAAAATACGATAAAAGTTTGAATATACAAATAAAAATGTTATTTAATTCTAATCTAATTTAAGCGTGTGTATTTCGTCTTATTAATTAGATTATATTATACAGAATAGCGTTAGAAAATACGATAAAAGTTTGAATATACAAATAAAAATGTTATTTAATTCTAATCTAATTTAAGCGCGTGTATTTCGTCTTATTAATTAGATTATATTATACAGAATAGCGTTAGAAAATACGATAAAAGTTTGAATATACAAATAAAAATGTTATTTAATTCTAATCTAATTTAAGCGTGTGTATTTCGTCTTATTAATTAGATTATATTATACAGAATAGCGTTAGAAAATACGATAAAAGTTTAAAAAAAAATTCGAAATGTTTCTATTAATATCATAATTATTTCATCAATAAAAGCAAAATCATAAATATTTATATAATTCTAAATTAATTATCGTGAAAACAATCTGTCATCCATTTCTGCAGAATACCAAAATCACTAATTTAATTTAACCTAACTTAAACAGATTCGTTAAAAGTATCACATTAATACTATCAGATTAATTAAATTAAAATTTGTGTCCATTTAGAACGGTCATATTCTTTTGTGCATCTTTGCTATCTTTGAAATCAGAACATGCAAATTAATTCGATCTTCTGCGGTTCGTAACGCTATCCGGATTCGCTGTTTCGTAATGATCTTTATGTAACTACTTTGTAATCTGTGGTGAGAATTTAGTAGCACAAATAAACTTTTCTCTAAAACGCAAATATATTTCTGCGACTGGTTGTATATAAAAAGGAAAACAAAGGATAAATCGAGACGACACCGTGGGGTTAAATCGTAAAATGTATACATATATTCTGTCTGGGTACATAAGCCATTTTCTGTGCGGTAATAAAGAAAAAAAATCATCTTACGTATCTCAAGATAAAACTAATCCAACGACTAAACGTAATCTTCGCGATCGTTTTCTCTTAGGGGAAAGTTCCTATGATAAATCATAATCTATATAGATATTTTCGAAATAATCGAATATACTTATAATATATTAACATGAATAATATCGAATTCAAATCTAAAAGTATACTTATGATAAAAATTTTAAAATATATAAATACACAAAATATAAACATAAATATATAAAATCAACTTTAATATCGTAGTATTCAAATTAATCTCTTTTAATTTTTTAAAAAATAATTCTTTAAAATAAAGTGTCGCAAATAATAGTAAAAGATAAATGAAACTCTAATTTCAACAAGACTATTAAAAAAATAAAAAAAAAACACTCACCAAGATGAACCGCCAAATTGTATCTTTCGAGCGCTTGACCCAAGTGTCCCTCCTTCATTAGAATATCACCCTCGTGTCTAGCCCTGCTAGCCTCTGCTTCTCGCGGCCACCACTTTTCCACCAGTCTCTGCACTAGCACATTCGTCTCACTCACAGTGATGATTTTTTGCCCGCACACGCGACAGCTTTTGCCCGGCTCCACGCAATTTTTGCAATATGTATGGCCGCAGTTCGATGTTACTGGTTGGCACAGGGTTCCCTCGCACAGAGGGCACGCGAAAGATGTTTCGATTTTTCTTCGAAAATTGATGGTTGTAGTCGCAGCGCCAGACAATTCATCCAACAAAGCGTTCGCCAGATGTTTCAATCGCTCCGGTGCCACAGATCCTACTGCTAAACATTTCGAGTAAACACCAATGGACTCTCTGATACGTCCACATTTGGCCAAAGAATCTCCATAGCCAACGAGCACCTCAAAACTCGGTGCTTGCTGCTTCAAATTACGTTCGTACATTTCTACAGCTAAGCGATAATTGCGCGAGGCGAAAGCTTCTTTTGCCAATTCAGTCATATTCAATGATCGTATACTAAAATGCTGAAATCTTTGAAAGCACTTTCCTCGTTCGAAATCAGTTTTCGAGAAGAAACGACGCGCGTACGTTTATGTTATGAAAGATTACGTATAAGCGTTGATCGTGAAATAAATGGGAACGATCCGCTGTTCAATAATATTGAGAGGATAAATTTAAGAACGATGCACATTTTACTTCATCGGATCACTCTAAAAATCGTGCAACCTTTCTCTCATTTATATTTTTCTTTCCTTTCTTTCTTCAGAAATAAAAATCGTATCGATCGAGTTGTCTTGAAAACACGTCTCGATGCAACAAAAACACTTGACACAATGGGAGGCAATGATTATCGGACAAGCTCGGTATTTATCAATATCGATACCCGGAAGAGCTATAGTTTGATAAGTCGATTGATTGCTCGCACGTTTGACAGCTAGCCGGCCACGCGGTAAAAGTATTCACGATACACACCACGCAGAGACAACACAACGTACAGTACGACGACGCACTGACGACTGCTGGCTTGGCTGTCACCGCTCGCTCGGGCCACTGTCAGAAACATAAACCGGACGAGGGGTGGCCAACAACAGTGGTGGTGGTGGTGGCGTCGGTGCAATCGTGGTGGTACCAAACGATGGCGACAACAGCGCCGCGTGGCGGTACATACACCTTCGACTCTTCACTGCCTCTACCTCACCAACTGTTTCGTGATACCACCACGAACTGTACTATATCACGGGTCTACGTTCTACGTAGGCGTCGCGTCGAGCCACACCCCCCACTACGGAATATCATCCTGCCACCACGAAGATCCCTCTTGATCCGCTCAGCTTAACCCTTGCCCTCTTCTTAACCTTATCAGGATACCTCTGCTTTTTTATATTCCGATCGATCGAGCAATGCATCATTCGCAGTATATTAATTTTGAATTCATTATTTCTCAATGAATTCGTTATTTTTGACACTTTATTTCAAAATAATTCTTTTTACTTCTTCGAGTTGAATTTCACTTCAAGCAAGCATCCGAATAAAGATCGAAAAATCTTTCTTGAATATTCTTTATTGTGACATATCATTGAAGTATCGTTCATCATTGCAGTCGACATGGTCTGGAAATATCAACAGGCTCTTTCGAAGCATGTCTTCATGGTATTCAAACGAACGGCGTCCTGTTCCTTAGCTACCCGCGCTCCACCAACGAACCTAAAAGTCGTCGTAGCAGAAACCTTCTTAAGTGAACGAACGTGACACGAAACTTTCGATGCAGATTATATGGTAAAACAGGTTGTGATTCGACGAGGGTGACGAGACGCAAGGGTAGTGGACCACTTAATCAGGACACTTGTTGTTGCTCGTCCGTTATCTTCGTTTCGGTCATCCGTATCGAGAAATGAATTCGTCAAAGGGATATTCGAAGCAAAAAAACACGACACAGAACACATACGAAATCTTTTCGTTACGGGTAAAGCTGTGGACGAAGCAGCGGGATGCGCGATTGCGGAGCTTACATAAAGAGCGTCGCGTCAGTGCACAAAACGTGGCGGGAGCGAGGCGAGTTTCGATTGGATCAATTATTCCACGGGCGAGCCTCGGCTCTCCGGGCTCTAGGAATCTTACTGAGCATGAGCAGTAACGTTACTTGGTCTACGTCGTGGTATTCCGTTTTACCCGGCACCAAGAGCAGACCTGCGTGCGCTGCTCCCCTCGTTGTGTGATCGTGCGTGAGTCAGTGTGCACCGACCGTTGACTACGCAGACGCGCTATAAACGCACTGCTCGCTTCCTTTCTCTTTCTTTCTCACATGCGCGCGCGTTCGTGATCACGTTTGCGCGATGCAACTGAAACACTCGAGACGATTCGCGCGCGTGTACGCTCATGCATATGTATATATGTATATATGTATAATGAATCGAGAAATTGT